TAGTAAAATATTTAATCAAAAATTAAAAAAGTTTAGATATCACTTATTTATGATAAAAACATTTTTATAGTTTGGTGAGAAACACCAAAATCAAGAAAAGAAATTAAATAAACATGTTAAAAATCTTCAGGCCTGCTTTTAATGTACAAGACGCTTTAATTAATTTGCATTTTTTATTTGCACTCTAACAAAAATTATTTTCTAACTAAAAATCACAATGAAATTTATTTAAATATTTCTTTTGTTATATTTAATGTATACTGTAAATATTTTACTAGGACATCACTCAGTTTTGTCGTATTGCGATAGAATTGAGTCGGAGCCAGAAAGAAGCGCACTTGTTAGGCACAGAAGAGGCGACCCTTGTACAGTATCTGACGGTCCTGGACAGGCAAACTTTGCATTTGCCGCCACAAAAAAGGCTATCCTTCTATCTAAGTTATGTAGGAGAAGGTCCTCTAGTACCGGACAGCGCCTAGTATCGGACAAGCGTTGTTTCTAAAATTTGCTACAAGTGGCAGAACCTGTGAAGAGACTAGAATGTTGGGTGAATAAAGTTCAGATTCCGTCATATTTAGTAAATCAACAGGCTATCCTTCTATCTAAGTTATGTAGGAGAAGGTCCTCTAGTACCGGACAGCGCCTAGTATCGGACAAGCGTTGTTTCTAAAATTTGCTACAAGTGGCAGAACCTGTGAAGAGACTAGAATGTTGGGTGAATAAAGTTCAGATTCCGTCATATTTAGTAAATCAACAGGCTATCCTTCTATCTAAGTTATGTAGGAGAAGGTCCTCTAGTACCGGACAGCGCCTAGTATCGGACAAGCGTTGTTTCTAAAATTTGCTACAAGTGGCAGAACCTGTGAAGAGACTAGAATGTTGGGTGAATAAAGTTCAGATTCCGTCATATTTAGTAAATCAACAGGCTATCCTTCTATCTAAGTTATGTAGGAGAAGGTCCTCTAGTACCGGACAGCGCCTAGTATCGGACAAGCGTTGTTTCTAAAATTTGCTACAAGTGGCAGAACCTGTGAAGAGACTAGAATGTTGGGTGAATAAAGTTCAGATTCCGTCATATTTAGTAAATCAACAGTGTTGTCAATACGTGGCAGAAAATTTGGTGTTTTAAATAATTTTTTGAGTAAACGAAGATAACTTCTGGTTATCATAGCTTACCTGAAAATGAGAATAAGTGTTTTTTGTTTTGTTTATTGTTGTAAACAACATTTATTGTTCTTTAACTTGTAGGTCGGAAATCTCCTTAAGCTTACTAATACTGTACGTATCTGGTAACCGATGTTTTGTTCCATGATGTTGCGGGTTGTATCGGACAAAAATGTTGTGGTTTGTATGGGACAGAGGTGTTACGGGTTGTATCGGAAACAGTTTAAGGTTGATAAGAATTATACTCTCACGAAATGTGTTTGTTTTACGGGACAATATGGATAAAGTACGGCAGAAGAAATGAGAGAAAGAAGAAAAAGAAAGAATCTACGCAGCTAAGAGAAAACTGCTGGGGGAAAATTCTCTAAATAAAAAGCGACAAAGAAAGAAACAGTAAATAAGCCTAAGGCTATGTACACATTAGGCGTTTTGCGTTGCGTTAAACGCGCGTTAGCTCGGCGTTCGACGAGCGTTTAGTGGAGCGTTAGCAGTGGCTCAGTTTGGAAATGGACGTGAAAGTAATTGCTTGCGTGTGCCTCCTCCATCGTCGCTATTAAAGACGATTGAAGAGGCAAAGAGAATTTTGGGTGCACCCAATATTACGAGATAGACTGACGCATGGAATGTTTCTGACGTTGTATCCAAAACTAAAATAATATGAACCCAAATTTTTTAATTCTTTTAGAATATCTATAAAATCATTTGACGATGGCTGGTCTCTTTTAGATTTCATCAATAAATAGATCAGTATCGAAATGATCGTTCTCCAATTCGGCCAACGTACGTCCACTCTACCTGAAAGCGCGCGATCGAATGTACTGGCAGCACATATATCTTAAAGCGCCCGTAAAACGCGCGTTTTAACAAAAATCTATCAACGCGCGCTTGGCCAAAAGCGCGCGTTTGAGTATGTATGCCTATGCAGAACTCTTGATTCTTTAAAACGCGCGTTTAAAAACGCCTAATGTGTACACAGCCTAAATCAGTTCAAGAAAAGAGAGAAGACCAAGAGACTCACTGCATCATCTGTGGTGAAACCTTTGAAGAAAACTGGATTCAGTGTAGGATTTGTGAAGGTTGAGCTCACAAAAATTGCGCTGATTTTGAAGGAAACAATCTGTTTTATGACTGTGATGTTTATAATACCAGAAAAAAATAAAGACAGAATGCATTTGTCATTAAAACGAATTGTTAAATTTTCAGACTGATAATTTTTTAATTTTTCTCATTTATACCATTTTATTATCACGTATTAACTTAGTTTTACAATCTGTAATTTGTACTTTTATAAATTTCTCAAAAATAACTCTTCCTACTAATGAAAAGTTGTTTGTGAAACCAAAAGTAATTCTCTTCTTGCAGATTTTTCTCCTGTCCAACACAACTCTCCAGAATTGAACTTGGTAAAATATCTGTAAAAAGTGTAAAAAAGTGATTAATATTTTTATGTTAGAAAAATGAGTTTTAACAGGTGTTTTTATAAGACAATGAAGTTTTGTATGGAATGTAATCTCGACCAAATTGAGCTGTAAATTTTTTTATAATATAGGAAAAGCTAAGGTGTCCGATACTAGATCTTCCCCTATGTGCTACCTAGAGCATTTGACACCAGGGGCAAATTTAAATATACCAAAGATTTACTTTCTGGGTTAGTCTTTATTTAAATACCCAAGACTTACTTTTTGGGTAAGTCTTTCATTAGTCTGTTACAAATTTAAAAATTATAAAATCACTTTTTATTAAAATAATTTTTTATACTCGTGTGTGAGTTTTCTAAGAATTTATTACTTCGCCTATGTAACAATTTTGGACTTTTGGCGCCCCATCATCTTGGCTGTCTGGGCGCGTATCCCCCCTCTATTCCTGACTTTCCACGATCCTGCTTGTACCTGTCGTTCAGGGGAGAGTCGATCCTCGCAGCTGCCAGCCAGATCTTTCTACTGGCCAGTTGCGGAGAAACAAACCTTGCACTTGCCAACACGAAGAGGCGATCAATGAACAAAGTTATCGCCATCGACTACTTTTGTTCTTGTGCATTGTTCGTTTTAGGCGCATATTTTTCGTTAGGCGCACGCAATGCTATTTTTTATTTTTCTCTCCTAAATTCTGTTAGGCGCGCTCAATCGCGTCGGGAAGCACAGACATTATCACTTTAACTTCACTGTATATCGAAAACGAAGTCAAGGATTCTATTTTTTACATTTAAATGGACCTTCGTTGTATTTTTGGATTCCTCACAGCAATTAACCAAAATGGCAAAGTTTTATCAAAATCGATCGATCAAATTTTGAGATCGAACGCAATATTGTAAGCCTTAGAAGGAGCTTCGCCTCAATAAATTAGAATTTAGTAACTTTCTTCTCTCTCTGAGAATAAAATATGTAGCATTATATAGAGATAATGCCTACAGTATATAAAATTAAATAATTTAAAGTTAATACTGTATGGTGCTTTTATGTTAATAAATAAGTAATTTTATTTCCATGTTTTAATAGTTTGATCTTTGCGGAAGGAAGAAAACGATCAGTTATTAATTTAAAAAGCTGACATATAAAAATGGAATGTAACAGGATTCATTTTATAAAAGTTATTGCTAATTCTATTGTTTTGAATTTTTAATGAACTAAAACATTTTTATTAAAAAAAAAAAAGATTTAATGTATATAGCATAAAGTAGATAATATTCGAAATAATACCCAGAATGCATGTAGCCTATATATTTATACTCTATAAGTTATACGAGTGTATATAGCCTATATATAATTTACAATTTTTCTATAATATAAATATATTCGTTCGGAATTTAATGCTAATTTATAAATATATTATAAATAAAATTTAATTTATTTTAATAATATTTTAGATATAACATACAAACATGCCTTTAAATTATTAGGCTGCATTCAATTAAATTTTGTTACTTCCTTATAATTATTTTTCTAAACTTATATTTAATTTTTAACGTCTTAACGGAAAAATACAAGTTAAGTAGTGTGTATTCGTTACAGTGTATTATATTAATTATAATTTTAAAAAAAGTTTAAGTATCGATTAATTGTTTTGCGCATATTTTAATTTGAATTATAACAAAATTGCAGCACATATTTAACATTTATGTAAAATATTCAGTAAATTAAACAATATTATTGTTCATTTCTGGCGAATTAACGCCATAAAAACATAAAATAAATAACTACTCTATGGAAGGACATTGTGCGAATTTCAGTTAGTTCCGGTCTAGTTGTGTTACATCTGCTAAGGTCTTCGCAGTAAAAAAAAAGTTGCGTTATAAAAAGTGTATACATTTCAATGTTAATATGCTTATTAGATCGATAGCAACGATGATACAAAGCATAAAAGTAGAATTTTTTCATACTCTGAAAATTATTTGAATCTTAAAAACTCAAAAAATACTACTTACAAATTCAAAAAAAAAAATACATTAAAAATTTTTTGCTTTTAGTATTTTATAAAAATTCATAAAATAAAGTAAGAATGTAGATTATGGCGATTGATAGCAGACGGATAACTTAATTCACGAATTTAATTCCGCGGTCTGAGACATCTTGAAGTCATTTTCAATGGTTGTTCTCTTCAAGTAACTCTGGTGATACATCTCTCTCCGGGTCACCGCAATACAACTTGTANGGAAAATTAAAAAAAAAAAATACATTAAAAATTTTTGCTTTTAGTATTTTATAAAAATTCATAAAATAAAGTAAGAATGTAGATTATGGCGATTGATAGCAGACGGATAACTTAATTCACGAATTTAATTCCGCGGTCTGAGACATCTTGAAGTCATTTTCAATGGTTGTTCTCTTCAAGTAACTCTGGTGATACATCTCTCTCCGGGTCACCGCAATACAACTTGTATCAGATTACATGCTAAGTTAGCGTGGGATGCACCCTATAAGTTCATAAGTCTGCACTTGCAAGCACCAAACAAATTGTCAACGGGGTGCTATGTGGATCTGTAGGACGTAGTATAAAGGCTGGTAGGTTCCAGCTGTCAATCAAGATGACCCTCTACCCGTCCTGGGTCATTATTTCTATTATTGTGCTTCTCACCTGTCAAGTTTTGGCACAATTTGACTCACAATATGATGGTAAGTAATTGACTTTTTTCAATTCGTTCCGATTTAAAGTGAAATATAATTATTAATTATTCGTAAGTAACTAAATTAATAAAAAATCTATAAATCAAATTTTAAATAATTTAAAAATCTTTTTATCAAGAAAAAAGTTAATAAAATGATAAAAAAACAAAATAAAATACTTCATTAATATAAAACCAGATTGTAAATTTAATCATAACTTGTATAGAATATCCACTTATTAGCTCGTCTTTATTAAAAGCACTTGAAGTTTGAAGAATGCAAAACGGTAAAAATTTCCAAGTGTGCAAGAAATCAGGAAGATGTGGGTGTATTTTCTTTCTTTAAAACGAATAACCTTCCATCTGGGAATGACATCAAACAGAGCTCTAGCATTTTCAGCGAATGCCAGATGTCAGTATTTAAGAGTTCAGATGTTTACCATCATTCAAATATTCTTTTATCAATTATAACCATAATAATCGAAAAATTAAAAATTTTAACCTAAAAAATTTTCATTTTGCTTAAAAAAACCATCCGCATACGACCCGTGTTCTTTTAGTTTTCTTATTTTATTCTCATGAAGCATAGTTATGACTAAATAATAATAAAAAAGAAAACTTAAAATTACAATTAAAAGCATTAAAAGCTAATTAAATCTGATTTTCAATAATCAGGGGAAGATTTACTTTTTATTTACTGTCTGATTATGTTCTTTCTTTTATTTTTTGAAACATTATAGGCCTGCCAGGGATAAAGTAGATAAAAAATAAACAGCAAAATTCGGGTGTGATTTAGATAAAACGATTCAATGACCTCTTTCAAAGCGACTAATAAAGAAATAACAGAAATGAATTCGACATAACTCGGGCCATCCGTTTGCCATCATCAAACTGCCACCCTCGCTATATAATTTTAATGAGAGCTGTTGACACTATTCTTTAGATGAATGTTTCAAGGCCATTTGACCCATAAACTCATTTGTTTTTTTCTCAATCTGTTTCCAAGACAGCTTCGTAGAGGAAGGGTTAAACCATTATAAAATATTTTAACCGCTTTAATAATTAACAATAAACTTATTCACGCCATTAAAATGTTACTATTCGAATAACTTTCAGTGTCATTTCTGATAAAGTATCTGCACCTAGACCTTCACGCAATTGGAAATGAACTTGCATCTGCAGTTGCTGACATCAATCTACTTTAATTCGACTAGTTTATACAGTGTTACAGAAAAGTATTCATTGAGAAAAGCATTTGCTAAACGATGTCATCGAGGTCGTTTGCTTTTTCGCTCAGTCCTTAAGTTAATAAGTTGGAATGTCTGAAAGAAATATATCTTCTGCAGAACAGACCTTGGCCGACATATCGCTTGCTGTTTAAAAATCAAATTTATAGCAATGTGTAGATCAGTTTATAAATGATAAATATTACTTTTAAAATAATCATTCTGAATATCATCAATATCGAATTAATAAAGTAGTTTGCGGGATAATAATTTAATGATCTTTAAAGAAAATCGGTATTTAATAGAATAATTACAAAAAGAAATTAGAATTTATTGCCATGTAATAAGAATCTTAAACCTTCGATTTGCTAATTAAATAGCAATCTGTGCTTAGTTTCAAAAGGAATAAATTGTCAATTCTAAAATTTATATTCGCTATAATAAATTTATAAGCTAATTTAACAAAAATTATAATAAACTCTTATTAAAAGTAACCGAGTGCACATGTAGCTTTAATTAAATATGTACACCGGAATGCTTCGATTTGATTAACAGATTTTAAAATGAGATCATACTTTTAATATTAAGTTTTTAAGTTATGAATCTTTTTATAAGTCATTTAATAACTAAAGTTAAATTGTTAGACTAATTCTTAGATGTAAACAGTAATGTGCACTATTTAATTTTGTTAGCGAAACTAAATATGTAGCTTAGTCTATATCAGTGTTTTTCAACCTTTTTGAATACGCGACCCCTTTACAAGTTAAAAAATTCTGGCGACCCCCCAACGACCATATTAAAAAACTATATCAGTGATTTTAAAAACTACGTATTTAATTCTCTTTCTGTTGAGATTTAAATATCGATCAAAAAACTAATTGTACTGTAAAATAAACAGGCACAGCCCCTCACTGAAATTGTAGTTTTTTTATTGTAGTGTATGACCTACAAACACTTGTCCATTTTTTTACCCGCGACCCCCATGTATGGCTTTGCGACCCACCTGGGGGTCGCGACCCACAGGTTGAAAAACACTAGTCTATATTAACCTATAAATAATGATTCATTAATGGAACTATTTCGGTATACAGAATACGCAATTATCTAAAAGAATCCTAATTTTACACATTAAAAAAATTATTTTATAGAATTCCAGATTATAATTCAAATTGCTTTATATTTTTATTATGATTTACTAAATTCTGACGAGGAAAAAATTTTTTGAAGTTATTCAAATTTCCAACACCTCACTATTTATTGCATTACAGATATTATATTAAATAATTATTTGTGTTCAAATTAAAACGAAGTTAGGAGCGTGGTTCCTCTTTGGCTAGAGATTTAAATATGAGTCAGGCCTCCGTAATATGTATAAAGTTCCACGAAATGTCCTTAGAGTATTGAAGGCTGCATTAATAGACTAATTATCAATTAACCATATTAAATCAATATTTTGTACTTTTTTGAATATTTTTTATGATGTACAAGCAAATAGATAAATACTTTACGGTTTTAGGCATTTGAATATTGTAATTTAATTATATTAATTATATTAGCTATTTAATTTCCCAAAAATAAATAATAATAACTAGGAATTTTTCGGGGATAGTCCGTCCTGATATGTCGGGTCCCGTCCCTCACTCTATTCTTCTGTGGGTCTGGCCAAACTCATAATGGACTTGCTAAAAGGCCATCCTACTGCCCACAAGGAGAGTTTTAAAAAATTATATATTTTTACTCTAATGATACTACGAAAGCGGGATGCCGGATGTTTCGATCCCGCCTCTTATCGTCTAGTCGACCCTGGCACATTGGACTTTTCAGGCCTTAATACTACTTGACCTCCTCACATACAATCCACAATAATAAGAAATAGAATCTTCAAGGACGAAATTTGCTTTGGAGGGGAATCGAACAAGAAGCGACAAACTGCAGCTGTCAAAATAATTTTTATTGATTTCAACTTTGTCCGCACATGCATTAAGAAAGGTCCCGGAAAATTTCAAAGATTGTATCTGTCTTGAACATGGTTCGAATCCAAATGTCGCTATTGTAAGATATTTTTGTTCTGCTATATTAATTGTCGTGTGCTACCTATAGCAAATCACAAGTAGCACATTACGAACAGTCAAAATCAGTCGTAAGCGATAGATTATGAATTTATTATAATTATGAGTAAAAATAGATTATAATGAAGAAAATACCATATAAATAGTATACCCTTTAATTATGCTTTTTTAGAAATTAATTTACTATTACATTACCAAATTTCGTTTAAATTCTATTTCACTAAAATAAAACGAAATGATTCGGAGCGTCGTTTCACAAAAAATCATTATGGCTTGAAAGCCTTAGAATATTGATTTAAACGGGGTGAGAGTCCTTTAAATCGTGACTATTCAAAAAGTAAACACGTTCAAATATATTTTAAGGTGCAGTAAATAGGATAATAATTCTTATTTCTTATTTTGAGATATAACTAAAATTTATTTATTTAGTTTGTAATTTATAAAAAATTAGATGTTTATTTTTCATTTTTGTCTCTCTGCCCTGCGAGCAGTAAGAGGGCCTTATTTTCTATACACATTGTGGATTAGAGGAGACTCACAATGGAAGTGACCGAGTAGTAAGGAACGATTATTTTGGTATGTATTGTTCTAACTACGTGGTTTCGATTTTCTGGAAAAAATTTACTTCAAAATTCAGCTCCTAGAATAAAATTTTGCGCTGTTATCTCTTCAATATGCAAATTACATACATTCTGTATACTCGGAATGTATGTAAGAATGCATTTTGCAACTCCTTTTATACTAAAGGAGTTGCAAAACGCATTCTTTAACAGGTGAAACGTCATAATTAATGTTACCACCCGTCTGGTTTTCACCCGGACAGTTCGGGAATTGACTCACTGTCCGGGTGAACTATTAATTTTGTCCGGGAATTTCGTAGAAATTGTGAAATTACGATGAAACAGTTCTTGCAAATATTTTTACAAATTTACACTATTTTAACAGCGAAAGAACTCACACTGACTGAAACTCATATGTAATTCTGCCCTGTTAGTCTGTTTACGCCGACATGTGGCGCGCAAGCTGTCGAACTTTTCTTTTTATTTATTGCAGGTACTGTACACGTCTCCAATATCCAATAGAGCTAAGTCATCTGTACATGTTCTTTCTTAATTTAGGTTACTTACGATACTCCTACACAAGTCCCTAACTGTAACTGATTTACAACCAGCATGCACGTTATTCTTCGCATTGTAAAATGACATTGCGCATGCGTCAGGAACTTCTGTTCGAACAAACCTGACCTGCCGTCCGGATCAGCGATTTTGAAAAGATGGCAACAGTATCATAATGTTCATTTTACTCGATAATATGTTACTTATCAAACTCTTCTATCAAACTTCAGGAATTTCGGCGCTTAAAAGCTTTACGAAGATGACTTCTAACTATTGAGAATTTTAGAAAATGATTTTGCACTTTGAGGCGACTGGAACTTTTCGCTCTGAAACCAGGACGGGTGGCAAACTTATTGGACGTCTGAAAAAGGAAGACGTAGCTACTGGAATAGCGGAACACGAAATGGAATGTTTTCATGGCAATAATAGTGCACACTAATTAGACATGCCCTACAAGACAGTATGGAAAGTTCTGCGAAAAATCTTGCATTTTCATCCATAGAAGATATCCCTCAGTCAAGAATTGGCTTTTGGTGATAATGATAAGCGGAAAACATTTTGCCATGACATTCCTAGCTTTGATAATGGTCGATGAATAGC